TTCAGGTCAGACAGACATATAGTGTTTGTCTCCACTACATTCATTTGTCAGCTAGAGGTACTAACTACGCCTAACACCTAATAAATGATGATATGTTGATAAAGATGAAGTTAAGCTTGAATCCCAAAAACACTTTGATTCTGTGGGGGTCTTTCTTTTGTCTTAGGTAATATTATAATGTGTTTAACTGAGTCGCAAATGTTGCACAGTCGACATGCGGTCCTAATATGGTCTTATCAAAGTTAAAAATAATCATACAAAAAACATGCAGAAAACCTCATCTCACACACACACACACACACACACACACACACACACACACACACACACACACACACACACACACACACACACACACACACACACACACCACACACACACACACACACACACACACACACACACACACACACACACACACACACACACACACACACACACACACACACACACACACACACACACACACACACACACACACACACACACACACACACCAGTAGATCCGTCCCTGGAGGTGTGGCCAGCTTTAGATTGCTGTGCTTGCTATCCAGATTGAAAGTGTACAGTGACATATTGAAATAACAACATTTGGACATTAGTGTTTATTTTGAAGGATTAGTCACTTGTTTACCGGTGTTGTTCTTTCTTCTGCTGGCTTGACAAAGCTGAGACTCTTGCAGCCACTCAGATAAACAGTTTCGATATTAGGACACCCCCTCCTGGCAACTCAGTATATGGTAGGCCTGTAAAACTAAATGTTAACTGCTATTACAGGTGGTTATACAGATGTCCGTAGGCAGAGCTTAAAAGCAGAAGCAGAAGAAGAAGAAGAAGAAGAAGAAGAAGATGAACCTTTATTAATCCCCCTAGGGCCTAGGGGGAAATTCAGTGTTTCACTCTGGCTTGTATTTTATGCACATGCAACACTCACAGTTATACACACATTACAGAATACACATGCTGGAGAGGGCCAGAGCGAAGAGGCTGCCAGTCTAGCCGGCGCCGGGGAGCAGTTGGGGGTTCGGTGCCTTGCTCAAGGGCACCTCGGCAGGGCCCAGGAGGTGAACTGGCACCTCTCTAGCTACCAGTCCACTCCGTGTTTTTTTTGGTCGATCGGGACTCGAACCGGAAGCGCTTTATATTCAGACTTATACTATATACTAAAACTAATATATACTTTTATATAACAATTGTTGTCAGTAAATTATGTGTTGTGCACAGCTCTTCACAATATTTACACCAATACTACTACATCTAGAGATGGAAGAAGTGCTCACATTATTTACTCAAGTAAAAGTAATACTAAAATGTAAAAATACTCAGTTACAAGTAAACGTACTGCATTTAAAGTTGTACTTAAAGGTGGGGTAGGTGAGACGAGCACCAAGCACAGCAGGAACGGCACCATGAACGGAACATGGCCCAGGTGGATCGGCACTGGCAGCTGACCATAGAGGCTGCTGCCCGGGCGAGGGAAGAGGAAATGGCCTTGAGAAGGGAGGAGAACGCTCAAACTCAGGCATTTAACCTAGCCTTCCTGCGCACTCTTGGCCAGGTTCTAGGGGGCAGCCGACGTGGCCCGTCTCCTCAGGAAGACGAACCACCTCTGTAATTTAATATTAATATTATTCAGTTTCATCTCTCTTGTTTTTGTTAATTTGTAAATGCAACATTTGTACTTTCTTGTTTATTTCTTATCTTTCCTTTTTTTTTTTTTATAATGCCATGTCTTTTTATGCTGCTGCAATACAAACATTTATTTATTTATTTATTTGTATTGTACAATGCCATGCCTTTTTATGGTGGGGTAGGTAAGTTTGAGAATCCGGCTCGAGATACACTTTTTGTTATATTCCATGGAATGCTCTTAACATCCCGATAGCAATGAATATCTTAAGTGCTTTGACAAAAAATCCATAAAAAAATGTCATCTGTGGAAGCCGTAATAATGTAAAAAGCACGACCAATCATTTTAGCCGGCCCGGCTAAAATAACTGGATGGCCTACCTGCCTGTCAGCCTTCCATCTGTGCACAAACTTATCTCGTGCCCTCATTGGTCATGTGCGCGTTCGTGTGTGTTGGAGGAGGGGCTCTGTAAGGAAGTGGCAGATTTTTTCCGGTTGTGTATTTTCAAATTCTAGCTCACTCGAGCTGGTTTCTCCAAAATTACCTACCCCACCTTTAAGTAAAAAGTATTAGCATTAAAAAAATACTCTAATATTTTGTATTAATTACCTAAATCTGCAAAGTAGCTAACTAAATATCTAAAAAAAACGTATAAAGTAGCATAATGTGAAAATACTCAAGTTCAACAGGTTGAACATTTTTACGTCCTTTGCAAGATCACCATACAAATGACATATAATGGTTATGTTGTACCAAAATGAAGGTCAGTTTTAATGTGACCACTAAAGACAAAGTAAGTAATTAGAAATGCACCTCCCCCATCCCCCAATATGAGAGAGATGTCGTCACAGGTCATCAGAGAGATTGTCTTTTCCTGGTGACCTACATAGTTTCCTGATTTACTTATAATAGTCATTGTCAAGGGAGTGAGCAGGAAGTGTTACAGCACGGTCCATTTGTTCATATGAGACCATTCTTGCAGTAAATGTATATAGCCTAAATATTAGACGGACTTAATGTTTAACATTAATTAGAACTTTGAAGGAAACCTTTAGAAACTACAACAGTATGTTCACCTTCCACAAGTGTTTTCGCACTACTAGCAATAATGGACTAAAATGTAGGCTTTTACTGTAGGTTATAACATTTTACAACTATATTTTTGCAAATGTAAAGCAATGCAATGAGATGTAAAACAAATATTTTGTAATAAGTGTGAATGATCATCATTGTCTCCTCTGTTTACATCTACTTATCTTTACATGTGAATATATAGCTTAATTAATGTGAATATCCAGGTCATACACAGTAAAGTACTGGGAGGGGATTCGTTTTTTTTGTCACATCTGATCGCTTGTTAATTATTAAAATGGTGAACAAGGGGGCTTCATCAATAAGGTTTAAGAAGTTTCATTAAGTCTAATCGATCGATTTTAACTGGGTACGTCCTAGTTAAATACACAAATGTTATTCATTTAAGCTGTGCCATTCATACATTTAAATGTTCATGGTCCAAAAAAGAGATTTGGATATATCTTGGGACAAAAGAAAAAAAAGCAATTTAAATCGTTAGACTGTGCTCCCAATTAAGTTACATTACATTTTCTTACCTAAAAGTTACTTGTTTATTTATGACAAGTTTAGTTGGCCTACCTGCAGTGCTTGAAGAAGTATTCAGATGCTTTACTTGATTAAAAATACCAATACATTATTCTCAAAATACTCAAAAGTCCTGCATTCAAAATCTTACTTAAGTAAAAAAGTATTATCATCACAAAGTAATTAAAATATAAAAAGTAAAAGCGATTATTGTGCAGAAGAATTGCCTTTATGTGTGTATATAATTACATTTATAATATATGTGACCTTCTAGATAATATTGTGGCATCAAGTAGCATGTTACTGTTGTAGACAAACAAAGTTCTGATAATAATTTGACTCTTCTGTGACCTAAAGAGTAAGACCACTAGTTTAATCTTTAGAGATGCATTTTTGTTCAAAGTAGCTAACGCTGTTAAATAAATGTAGAGGAATCAAATAACATTATTTCCCTTTTAAATGTGGTGGAGTAGAAGTATAAAGTAGCATACAATAGAAATACTGAAGTAAAGTACTGTACAAGTACCTCAAAATTATACTTGAGTACAGTACTTTAGTAAATATCATATCACTGGCTAAGACTATCGCAATATTGGGAAAAGCCAGACACATTCTGGACTACAACTCATTGTATACTCTATATATAACACACTCATATTGCCATATCTGATTTACTGTGTGGAGATTTGGGGAAACACGTACAAAACCAACCTACAGCCGTTATGCACATTACAAAAAAGGGCTATAAGAGTTATCAATAATGTTGGATATCTTGAACACACTAATGTATTATTTTTGAAGTCACACATATTGAAGTTCACTGATCTGGTTAAATTTAAAACGGCACAAATCATGTACAGAGCAAGACATAATCTACTTCCTAGGAAATTAAAAACACTGTTCATAGACAGAGAGGGTGGGTATCATTTGAGAGGAAATCTACATTTTAAACAACTCAAGGTCAGAACAACTCTGAGAAGTATGAGTATAACAATCTGTGGGGTGATTTTATGGAATGGTTTGGAGCAGGAGTTAAAACAAAGCACAAGCATAATTCAGTTTAAAAGGATGTACAGAAACACTTTTTGGGAAAACTATGAGAAGGAGAGAGGTGATTGAAGATGAGAAATTGTATATGTATGTATACATGTAAGTAGGAATAACTTGCATAATGATTTAAAGGACATCATTGATCAAGTAAGGGGTGGGAATGAATAAGCATTTGCTTCCTCCTGCTCCCTTTCGGACACATATGATTGATTATTATTATTAATATGAAGACTTTTTTTTGTTGAATATATAAATATTATCATGAATGTGGATAAATACTGTATTTTAACAATACGGTATTCTGTTTTTCACATTTGTTATTTTGTTATTTTTTAAATCTGTTCGAAATAAAGATTGAAATGAAATGTACTTAGTTAATGTATTCACCTATGTAGCTGTGTCTGTTAGATGTCTGTACAATTGAAGAGTTGTTGTGATACAAGTGTAACTGTGTATCGCCATTGTAAACATGGCCCTGCTAAATGTTCTTGGTAATTTCCAACCTTGACCAACATTCACAAACAATAATGCATTTAAAAAATAAAAATAAAAGATTATTTAAGGAAACTCAAACTCAAAAAGCCAACTAACGTATTTAAAAAACATGTTTGCAGTTTCCTACCTGCTGTGGGTTTTTCCAGCCAATCGACACAAGATGGCGGCAGCAGGTAAAGACAAACCTGCTATTCTAGCCACGAAGAAGAAATCGACTACTGGGCGACAGGCGGAAACGTAGAAGAAGAGAGGACTAAACATAAACATGAGCAGAGTCTCACCGTGACCGTGAAACAAATAGGAAAATGCTGTAGCCTACCGTTAAACATTGATATACGTGTATCCTGTTTGGTGACACACAACGTAGTGTAATGCTGTTTGTTACTGTGTTTGTTTATTTAAAGAAATGTTGCGGCTTCTCCCCTTCATCAGCTGTGTGCACAACGTGTCCAGTCGGATCATAACAGGGAGAGTTTCTCCCAGTGTCTCTCTACTTCTCAGGCCAAACCCTGCCGGACTGCCATGTGTTTTGGCAGCAGGTAAAAAGGACCTGATAGACCTACCTGTCCTGAATGAAGATGAGTTTGAAGAGCAGTTTGTGAGAGGATCTGGACCCGGAGGACAGGCTACAAACAAAACCAGCAACTGTGTGGTGCTCAAACACATCCCCACTGGCACTGTTGTGAAGGTAAATCTTGTTTTTATTAATCCTGTCATCACTAGTATTTATCACTATTCCAAAAAGGAAATTGTTTACCCAAATAAGAGTTATCTAAACGATGAGAATCTCAGTTGACTAATACATCTATTGTAATAGTCATTAATGTTTTTGATCCTATGGTTCTGCTATGCCAAACATTTTAGTTTATCCAGAATATTTTACATTGTGTATTATTTGTGTTTATATGTATTTTCTACTGTTTATAAGCTATTTGCTGTTTATTGTTTTTATTTTATTATGTTTATACTTTATTCCACCTTTTAAATGTGTTAATGTTTGAACAATGCTGCTGTAACAAAATAATTTCCCTATGGGGTCAATAAAGTATCTATCTATTTATCTTTCTAAGTCTAACATAGAGGCCCACGCAGTCAATTTTCTGGTGCTCTTTCGTCATAGTATGCTCTTCTACAGATGTTGATTGTAATGGAAGTTGAAGATAATGTTAAATTATAAGGACTTTCTGTCCATGTTCAGGTTATATGCAGGAATCCTGAAGTCAGATGTAATACCTTTTTTAAGACCTTTTTTAAGACCCTTTCCATACATTTTTAGACCTCATCGCCACTTCGAGTTTTAACCAGTACATTGGCGACACACTTTACCTCACATTTACTATATACAGTATTGATTGTCCTTCCTCCTTATCTTCCAACCATTTGGACGCAAACTTGCATTTCCTCATAACTATGTTGTTTAACAACCGTCGTAAACTGGCCTTCACGCGCTATCAAGCAGTGAGCGTGCAATGTCCTGTTCAGATGACGTCAAATCCAACGGGATGCCATAAATAGACTCCACAGAATCACACTACACACCTACGCAATCATTACATTCAGGCAAACTTAAGAATACAACCTCTTTGGACAATTCATATACTTATTGAAAACAAGCTACAAAATGTAATACCTTGGAAAATGCCGTTTAATACTTTTTAATAGCCTTCATTTTCGCTAAATTGATTGATCAACTTTTAATACTTTTTAAGACCCCGCGGACACTCTGATGTTGGCTTAAAAGTGGAAATTCACAGTGAAGTCTTTTTTAGTTGTGCCTTTCCTGAAAAATAAAATAAAATCATGATGCATGAAAGCCCCAGAATAGCTACTGATTCAGCCTTAAGTTGGTGTTTTAATTACAATGTTAATTTAATTATTGTACCATTTCCCCTGCAGTGCCATCAAACCAGATCTGTGGATACAAATCGAAAGCGTGCTCGGGAAATAATGCGACTGAAGCTGGATGTTGTTTTTAAAGGAGACCTCAGTGAAGTTGTTGTAAAGAAGAAAGAGTCTGAGCTGAGGAAAAAAGAGAAGAGAAAGAAGGCAAATGAGAACCTGGAGAGAAAAAGACTCTTTAAAGAAGGGCTTGCTGCAGACTCCAAACCTGGAGAGGACACCGTTTAAAAATGTTTGTGTGGAATATAAAATCAATACTTGTAAGGTTCTTTGCTATGCTTACAAAGACTGAATAACAAAACCTGGAAAGTCACTGTTAGCTGCTCTAAATCACGTTGGCCTTTTGGTGTAAAGCAAATGGGGGGGAAAAGAATAAAGAAACCAAATATAGTAAAACATGTTGGCTCTGTGTTGTACTTCTGTCAATGCTTGAAAATAAAAATAAAAACATGAATTGGGACATAAAACAACATAAAAGATCAAAGGACTAATATTTGTATTTTGTTTATACTCTAATCATTCTCTGTGCTTAAGTAACATCTTGTGAAGTTTACATTGTTCTGATTTTAATAATGAAAAAGCATGAACAAACATATTGGTGCAGAAGAACAAGAATATTAATTAAAAATAATTATAAACAAAATATATAATTGGGATAGATACACTTAACAATCCAAAATATAATAAATATTATTTGATGAGTTCACCATACAGTCGTTATTCTTTTAAGTTTACATTTGAAATGAACCTACCCTCTATGTAATATTGATCATATCAAATCATTAGGTTTACAAATAATTCAGTGTTATATTTATCATGTTAGAATTACTACGTTTTTTACTCAAAATTTGAACACGTCCAAATAGTCAAGTGTATACAATAGTAAAATACAGTGGTTAAGGGGGAGGTTCATTATTTTAAAAAATACACTTGAGACGTTGACGGGGTGACGAGCAGAGCTGCAGCCAATGAGAACTACTTTATTACTTGTTTACTCCCCCCGGACCAATTGGCCAATGAGAGAGGCAGTACAGTTTTTTTTAAATCCCCCACGCGCTCACGCTCTACTTCGCTCACAGTAGTTGTATGGAATTTGTATTGCAGAAGCATTGAGCTAAGCACAGTGAATAGCCCGTGGACACCGAGGGCAACATTAAATAGACTCCTCATTTTTTAAAACTTTTATCCTGACACGGACATGGCAAAAGGTAAACTTTTTTATGTGTTTTTTTTTGTTTCATTCATTGTTGCATGTCACACAAGCTTCAGTAGTTAATGTGTAGCCAATGCTACCAAGCGTAAATTACGGGCAACTTTTCAAATACATGCAGCTGGTGTTTATTAATTGTCGGCTTTCGTGAAATGTAGGATAAAATAGACCGCTGTGTTTACGTTTATTCGTTTCCATGTTTTTAAAGGGAAGCAAGGTGTGCTGAGGACCGACAAAAAGACCGAGAACACTGTTGAAAATAAAGTCCCTTCTCGGGGGAAGACAAAGGAAAACAAACCGGCAACAAACAAGGTATGTGTTGTGTTCACCAACCAAAATAAGAATGGCTTTTTCTCACTTTTTGTGCTAACCCATCAAGCTACGGTCACAGAGGGCCCTGCCTCACCTTTCGTTGTTGGACTTTAGCATTTCCGCCGAAATCCACACCAAACTGTTCACCGCCCCTTATATCCCAATCATAGGTTCAGATGTAGTAAGAAACTGTTCCGTTGTACTCTATTGCTATTGGCTTAGGGTGCCTAGCCACAACTGTTTCTCCATTTTATGCTGCTTTCTTCTTCTTTTCCACTACATGCTCAGAGGCAAATATTGCACTGTTTTACCTCCCACTACATGTATGTTAAAGATTTGGTTTCTAGTAGTTACTTTGCCAATTTTGTTCGGTGTATATATGTATAGTAATTAAATCAAGCCCAGTCTTTACAAGCTGCAACTTAAAAGTGTTGTACATACAGAGGCATCAATCATGATCCAATAATATAATGTACTAAGGGATGAGATGTTCAAATCCAGGACTTTTACTTGTAACAGTTTTTTACACTGTAATATTGCGATTCTCCACAGCTGTTTGTCATTTGCTTAATAAGCAGCACATACACTAACCGTACAAAGTTGTTACTATTGAGTTGGCAGGCAGAGCGGTGAAGTCTTCAACGTCTCATATCCTGTACATTTGCTTATCTACAGTATAACAAAACACCTTGTACGTGTGAGACGCAGCACATACTTTAATTGTTATTAATAATAATGACATTATTTTGAAGCTCAGCTGATGTAGTTAATTTAACACGCTAGTGCTGCTTACATGTAAACTAACATAATGTAGTTGTACATCAACATGCTTCTCAAAACATGAGCTATAATGATAAAGAGTGTAGAACGGGTAATTTTTTTGTACAGGGAAAATCTGATACTGTTACAACCCTCTTGAATTCACGTGCATGCTAGGTTCAGATATGAAGAGTTATAAACACAGCTTCACAAAATGTCCTTTTTTTGCATCTAGTCAGATTTAGCTGAACATTCACATCACCTCACATGTTTACTCCTGTGACTGATACAGGGTCTGTCCTTTTTTTAATTTAAATAACGGTAAACAACATTTCTTTGTGCAGACTAGCGTAGGTGAAGTACAAACCAATTTCCTGAGCGTACGGAGTCCAAGCAAACCCAGATCCCCTCTGAGCGACAGCTCGAGCATGCTGATCCAGGAGGGAAATGACTGTGGAGCCAGCCACCCCGACGTGCCCAAGTTAAAAAAAGGTGAGCAACAAATCAACTTCAAGAAAAGGATTGAATCAAATAATATGTAATGCTGTTTGTTCTTTTCTAATACATGCAATCTCCCATTTAACTTAATGTTAACTCCTGTGTTACCTTGGATGGTCAGCAGCTCCACGTGTCCAACAGAAATACTTCCTGTGTATGTGAAGGGCAGCAGTGTTCACTGACCCACTGTCTTATGACTTAACGTAGCCATTTTGTTTTTAAAGGAGCTTCACTCTCTTGATTGAGGCCAAATGTTGAGGACCGCTGTCAATTATATTCTTCTCCGTCCTCATTTTAGAAGTGCCTAATGAAATAAAATCGGAGAGTTGTGAGTCCAAAGAACAGAAGCCTGAAATGGGTTGTAAGAGTCACGGGATCAAAGAGCAAGCCACTGACCAACTTGAGAAAAAAAAGTCAACGGCACACACCAATGGCAGATCTGCAGCCGAGATCAAGGTTCTAGCCGCCAAACCTCGGAGTAAAACCGGTCGCAAACCAGCAAAAAAGTGAGTGCAGAAAGACAACATTTTAGGCATCATTAAAAAAGAAAAAATTCGTGCACAATCGAATTTGTATTTAATTCCTCTCTTTTCAGGTCTGAAAATCAAGCTCCTCAAAACAGGAAGGTCACAGACTATTATCCGATCAGACGGAGTAACAGAAAAACGAAATCCGAGATAAAGGTCTGTTTGTAAAGTGCTGTACGTTGTATATTTGTTAGTGAATAGAATAAATACTTTTCCACCAAGATAATACATTTACATTTTGTTACTACAGTAAAGATATCAATTTGAATTATGCATCACTTTATCGCTTTCCCTAGCAGAAAGTCTGACTTTGACTCCATTCCTCAAATTGTCAACAGAGTGAAGAACACAAACACCTTGATCACCTGATAAAGAATGACATTGAAGACGGATTGCAGGTACAGTTCAATAGTTTAAATGTCTTTTATATGTAATTTTGAAGACCGTCCTTGACCTACATTGCTCCCATTGTATTTATTGATGTCTGTAACGTAGTGGTAGTACCTGTGCATTGAAGTATTTTCCATGCATCGGTTATATTTGTGACATATTTAATTTTCTCCTAATCATATTCTTTGTATTCTAAGCACTCAGTAAATAGTACTTTTTAGTTGCTAGTTTTGACAAATCCTACACTGCAATGTGATTAAGAGTTTGACAAAGTGTTGCTTGTGAATGTTGACAGATCAAACACATAGAAGGAAAAGGAAGAGGGATATTTGCTGCCACGGGCTTCAAAAAGGCCGAGTTTATCGTGGAGTACCACGGAGACCTGTTGGGGATAGCCGCGGCTAAAGAACGAGAGGCCAAGTACGCTCTGGATCCCCAAAAAGGCTGTTACATGTACTACTTCCAGTATCATACCAAAACCTACTGGTGAGTCCAAATCATCACTTTGAAATATAATTGTCATGTGGCTTTACATTTATTTTATTTATTATCTTTTTTATTTTATCTAGTTAAAATTGCATTGCATAACTATATTATGCCCATGTTCCCTGTGTCTCTGTATTTGCTGGCTATCACATTTAAGGTGATTAACCACACAATAATAATCTTAAAATAAAGAAAATAATTATAGGCCTACACTCAGTAAATTGAGTCTATGAAAAAATTACTTTATTATAACTTGTTATCATTTACATGCTTTGGCATTAGCTTTTTATGGACACAAGTGGGCTACCGTATTATTTGAGAAGAGTTTATCTCCAATGACTTTGGATACGAATGGGGCGGATGTTTGGTTGTCTCCGTATATTAGTTATTTTAACAGTCCCCTAGTTAATAAATATGATTCCTAGGTGTTAAAGGTCACCTATTATGCAAAATCCACTTCTTCATGTCTCTTCTACATCAACATGTGTCCCCTCTGTGTAAAGAGACTCTGAAAGTTTCAGGAAAAAAGATTCTCTCTCTTTTTGTCCTGATCCATTTATATAAAAACCTGTCTGGAAATGAGCTGATCAGATTTTGGCCACTTTATGATGTCATAACGATGTTTTGGCTTGTGTAACCATTAGCCAATCACCAACCAAGGTAACCCCCCCCCCCCCCCCCCCCCCTCCTTATCACCTGAATCTCCTCCTAGAGCACCATTGTGTTCTTTTTAACCAAATATCTCTCAGAGGGGCGTGGGGAGTGGCTCCTTATTGTCATCTCAGGGGACTCAAACTCATGGCCCGGGGGCCAAATCCGGCCCGCGACTTCATTTTATGTGGCCCCGCAAGAGCTTGCAAAGAATATAATACGTTTATTATACGGTTACATGCCACTTTACAGAAGCAGGTTGCCCATAAACTACATGTCCCACAATGCATCTCGTTTTGTGGCATGCGCACTGAAGAGACTTATTTGCCCTGGACTTCTGCTTTCAGACGTAGTTAATTACTAAGTTATTATCCTATCCGATAATAATCCAATTCAGAGGCAATAATGTAATATAATACATTATTTTATATATATATTATATATTTATATAGTTACAACCGGCCCTTTGAGTGCAACCTTTATGCGAATGTGGCCCGCGATGAAATTGAGTTTGACACCCCTGATCTAAAGTAACAGACAGAGAATCAGCACTTTTGAAACAGAG